ATTCCAACGCAAAATAGAGCACGGAGACTCATACCGACGCCGACAACAATGCAATTCAATGGTTTGTTTACGAGCGACGACGAGCTTTTGCCCACACTCCGTCGCGATGACGGTGACGTCCGCTAGGGGCGCTCCGGTTTGTTTGTAAACATGAGTTGGTTTATACCCACCATACTTTTGTCCATGAATCTAAGGAAGTGTGAGACTATATTTTGTTATCTGATAGTAAGAAAAGGAGCTACGTTGTTGTTTTCACATGATGGACTTTGTTAAATAAGCAAAACCTTTCCGTACAACAAAGGACACTGGAAGGCCACTGATTTCATTCTGTATACTCTAATAAAAGCTTACGAGTTCACTTTATTGCAGAACGCGGAAACAGTCAATCACAGCGAGCAATAGAAGAATCCCAGCCAATGGCTCAGAATACGATCTGAAGAATGCTATTTGCGCAGGGACATTGAGCAAGTGAAACGTTCAGCTCACAGTCCTTGCGGACGTTGCTTTTTTTTTTTTTTTGTCTAATTGAATTTTGAGCTTAGTTATCGGCTTTTATTCTTCCGTTGTTTGCCTTGATTGACCGTTGTTATGTTCAGCAGGAAAGTGAATGTTTTTACTGATGTAAAGTATACCGTGTCATCGTCTCTTTGAACGCTACCTTTAAGGCAGAATTGCCGCTCCTGTTGAAGCCCCGAACACACTATAGACGCGAAACATCCTTTTTTTTTTTCATTTTAGTTTCTCTTTTTCTTCCCTTGTACAAAGTAGCCATCCAGGGGAAACTTCTCTGGTTAACTTTTTTTATCTTCTGTTATTCCTCCACCTGCGTCCCCGTAGTCACTGTCTACTTTTCTTTTTGGAGCGGACATCTGACGATGTCCAAATGTATTAATAATATGCGGCGTTCAAATGTATTACAAATATTGATACCATATAGAAGTCCAAATATATAGGTGTACACATGTATTAATAATATTCGTACCATTATCATGTCTGTGACATTATAATGTCCACTGGGCTAACATAGTTATGATGTTATGTAATCATTGCTATGTTAACATCGCCATGACGACAGCACGTCTCAGAAACTTCTGAATTAAGTGATATATGTCTTCGAATAAAAATCAGGCCTGATGGCTGGAGCATATAGACCTGAAGGATTGAAATAAGCTTGAAGTCAGCAGGCCTGATGGCGGTAGTATAAAGACCTAAAGAATTGAGATAAGCTTGCAGTCACCATTAACGTCAGGAAGCTAACACGTCAAATGCCGAGGAAGTCCAAGACCAGGAAGCCACCTAACATGTCGCATGTCTCGAAACGCATTGTATAGTTATAGGCAAGATCGATACGTACTGTTTTACGAGACCTATTTCGGAATGGTTTGAATACTTGTGTTGACGCAAAGCGGCGCAATGATGATAGCGCCACTCCTAGAAAAGAAATAACTAAATAAAACAGTCATGCCGTCGTGACGAATTTTTTTTCACTAATAGAGCTAAGAGTAGATTCTATCTACTCTAAGCTTTATTTTATCTACTCTTTAGGGTACAGCAGGATTAGTTATGGCAATGTCAGGCAAAACTGTCGCTGCAATCCCATCATTGCTTTATAATATGATGTAATGTTTTCTCACCGATCATTTTAGGCTTGACTGCAGTCGGTCGGAACTTTACAAAGTGCGAATACATTATGTAAACAAAATAGCTTACGCTTTTAGTAAATTACTGGAACTTTGGCACGAATAAGTCACGCCGATAAGGGCTCTCTTAATAATCAAAGTTTCACAAAAGGCAAATACATTTAAGGTCAAATATTGGATCTACTTTTATGTTTATATAACTGAACTTCAATATAAAACATGTTCGTATGACTACGTTTGTTTATGATGAAACTTGAGAAACTTGAAGACGTGGCACTCTTTTAAAATGCTGTTAACGTTGTTTAATGGCAGGTTTCTTCTTTAAATGCGTCTGCGTCTGTGTGCACGTGTGTGAACGTATACGCCGGGAATGGTCTAATGTAAAATATTGGCGATTTTATTATTAACAAATGCACTTTTTTGTGTGTGCCTAAAGCTTGTAGGTGCGGGCCTCCAAATTTACTGTATCTATCTTTGAAATCAATTTTAGTGACGTTTCCAAGTGTTATTAGTATAGCCCGCTGCTTTTTCAACCAGAAAATAACTGTATTAATCTCGTCATATATAAAATAAGTTAGGCATGCAAATATTTAGGAAAAAAAGCTTAAAAATGTCAAAGCTCTTTATACGCTTGCAAAGCACGAATGGCTTGTGGAGGATGCGTGGGCAGTGTTATTTTGTGTTTTCGTGGTAATAACCTGTAAAGGTTTTGTAGCATCGCATTTCTTTGTGAAATAGCTGGCGACCACGTTGATACTCTCACATCCTTTTTAAAACAAACTGCATGCGTGCATATAACAATAAATGTTAAAATCTATGCTGAATCTCGCAATCAAAGTTCCTGCATTAATTATTATTCGTTTGATGACATCCGTTTTTTAATTGTATGTAATGTCGGCGGATGTATATCTTGTTTTTCGTTCCTGACCACGTGTATGTGTATACGGCAATGAAATAAAAAGACGAGTAAGATAATGCGTCGTTTCAGCTCAATAAAACATTGCAATGTTGCAAAAAACAAAAAGAAAAGAAAAGAGACAAGGTTTTCGAGAAGCAGGGATTACAGTGACCTGCAACAGGATGCTAGCTCGCCGTCGAGCAACGAGCTCCTGTCTTGTCGTCCTGGCTGCCGTATCTGCTAGAAAAAAAAAGAAAAAAGTTCACTTAAATTAACAAAGTTCACTCGTTCACCCGATTAAAAAACAAGGAAAGTGCTAAAGAATAACATCCACTTACGGACCAAAAGCAGCAACCGATGAAATACCAAAAAATGGTAGATGACCGGATATATTGAGGACGTAAACGTCCTCCTAAGCAGACATGTACAAATTACTCAAAAAAGGTAGTTAAGTTAAGTTACTGAGTATCGACGCCAAAAGTAATTGGAGTAGAGTAGAAATTACGCATTTGTAACAGTAATTGAGTAAACTACTAACTACTGTAAAAAGTAGCGAGTTACTTTGAAGTTACTTTCGAAGTTACTTTTTTATATTTTTGTGGTAGCAAAATGAACATCAGTTTTGATCAATGAAAAACCCTGCGAGCCTGAAATAAATGCAGTCTATTTATGGCTTGCGTTTTCGCCAAAATAGTTTATTCGCTCGCAGAAGCAATTGACTTGCAAAGTTCTTGATAGGAGAGTTTTCCCCTTTTCCTTTTAAGGACGTCCCCAGCCAAGCTAAATAGACGTTCTACCGACGGGCTGGATGGAACGGCAGCGTTGAATTTGAGAAACAGGCTGTGCAGGGTCGGGTAAGGTAAGCGAGTGTCGGCATCTTAGGTGTCCATGACTAAACACGTGAGGTTTGCCTCGGGTAGAGTCAAACCTCACGTGTTTCTCCTTTCCTCCTTTTTTTTTCTTTTTTCTTCGTCAAGTTGAGATTGTTATGACTGGCCCCTCTTTATTCCGACGTCGTTCTGAGAGTACGCTGAGCGAGTGCACCAGACCGTCAAGGGTTCAAGTCTCGCACCACGACGATGAGATCATCCGGACGACTGCGCGTCCCGTTGTAGTGCTAGCGCTACGCTACTGAAAAAAAATTGTTTTGGTTTAACAGAAGATGAAAAGTAGTATACTTCGCCGCTGACGCCGGGTCCCACAAAATGATCTCCCAAGGGTAACTCGCAATCCTTACCGGCGACTACAATATTCTGATGCGCCTGACACGCCTGACAAGTAAATCGTTTTTAACAAAGAGGAGGTCCCCAGGCATGGATGGTCGGAAGGACGCGAAGGATTACGTGAACAAGCATTGAAGCGGGAACGTGCTCCGAAGAACGGATTATCCGTGCCGGGGTTTGTGCGCGGGGGAGTCCGGCTTTGCAAAGGCGTATGCGCTGACGACAAGGCGACCATAGGAACAGGCGCCCAGCTGCGAGGTCATTCCAGTGGCGCCTCCCGTGGAACCTACCGCTTGAGTCAGAACTCACTAAAGACAGACAACACGAAAACAACAACTCTCGGAGTGTCCCCGTCTTTCAGTGTTGCAGCTGGAAACGCGGCGCCTGCGTGCATTACCGGATTAGGTCAATACCCAACCAAGGCTTGTTAAGCATCTCTTCCTGCGTTCGTGCGTGCCGGTGTTATATTTTGGCTCCTCGTCGCCACCTTGGCCCAAGGACGCCTTCCCGAACAAGGGGGCCCCTTGTTCGGGAATGCCACTTTATCTGCCGGCGTCTTATTAAGTTCTGCGCTCAAACTTTCATGATGGACAAAATTAGCACTATATAATTTCGAAAGTAGTTAGTAATTTGAGTAGAAGTTACCTGAAAAAAGTAGTTAAATTAGATTACTAATTACCCAAATCAAGTTGTAATTGAAAGTTATCAAGTTACTCGAAAAAGTAGTTAAACTACAGTAGTTTGAGTAGAGTAGTTGAACTACGTCCAAGTCTGCTCCTAAGTGTCACGTCCATGTCTGCTCACTCGCTGGGTTCGTTCGGTAAATTACTGTGATATTATAAAACTTCAAAGAAAATAATAGGCGAATGGGCTTTGATGTTAAAAGGGGATTTATCTTCAAATAGATTAGTTAATAAATCTACCATCTGATTTTATCTGCCGTATTCACAGATTCATCTTTAGGAAGTAACAATGATATTTCGTCACTTTCAATTGACATGTTTATGCCTTTAAGCTATTTCAAATCTTATTAAAGCCAGAACTATAAAGGGATATGTAAATTTATTCTCTGTCTTTTTTTATTTGGTATTTTGTGCGTGTAATGTTAGAGGTTATGTGTATGCGAATCCGTTTTTGTCGTTTGTGTTCTGATGCACCACCACGAAGGCACGTTGTTATAGGTGGACTTAAATAAATAAACATAAGCAAGAACGCCATGCAACAAGAATACCAAGCACGTGGCGATGCACCTATGTGTATAGCATTTATTGTTCCATGTGCACAGATGAAAAGACATCTTGCAAATAGGAAATCATTATGATTTTGGCTGATAGCACACTAGAGTAGCTTTTTTCTTCAATTTAACTCAGTTCCACGCAGACTTGCAAAGACTCATCCGTAGGTTTTCGTTGACACGGTGAAGCCGTCTTGTTCAGGACCCCGGCACCTCCAGAGTCAGCGTTGGGTTTATGCAGTCAGTTCACCGGCCAGGACAGGGACGTCCTCACACACCTGAAATACCGAGCAAAGTTAATCGCAAATATTCTGACATCGTTTGTCTATGAAAAGTCAACTCTCGTTGTACATTAAGACACGCAGAAAATATTCAAAGACATACTCCTATCCCGGCAACTCTTTAGCTTTAAAAGTCTAATACGCGGGTTGCCGGTATGCGCGTCGCATACCGGTGAGCATCAGAATACAGTAAAAGTTGCACAATTAAAGACACGCTCTTCAATTGAGGTGCCAAATGACATATGTATTCCTAAACTACTATCTTTCCTCCCACTTGTTCCTCACCACCTTTTGTTTTTTACAGTCACTGAAAAGTAACAAAAAAACGCAGGGAGTTTTTATTATGTTTACGGGTCTTGCTTTGTGAATCGTTCTTCGGCATTCTTATCGGCAAACTCTGAAATTTCACTGGCTGTGGAAGCAAAACAAGGTTCTTCAGTTGTCAGCGACTTTCTTTTCTTTTAGACTCCTCCTTCTAACCTCTTTCACATCCTCTGCACTAAAGGCCCGTTCACACACTTGTAACCGAGTAGGATCGACTGAGACAAGACCGGTTATTAAGCCTCTTGCGACGGCGTGGGACTGGATGCGCTGCTGTGGAGCAGGCCGTAAGCCGTCGCAAGAGGCTTAACAACCGGTCTTGTTTCTCTCCGTCCTACTCAGATGCAATTGTGAGAATGGCCCTTTATTATCACATCGCAGCCCATGAAATTGCGTCATTAGTTCATGAGCACGCCGAAGACCGAATCACGATGCCTGAACGTCATAAACAACGCCCTGCGCTTCTTCTGTTCTCGGTGACTATATATTGTACTCTAGTCGCCATTTTATGTGGCGATGGATTCAAATGTTTGGATAGCGCTCGTGCTGGCTCTCGTTGGACTCCGATAAAAGATGCGCACGCACACTTATCTTCAGAAGTTTCACGTAGAGTTATCCCGGACTCCCCAATAGATAAGAAAGCTTTACTTTTTAATTCTTCGAGGTCACCGAAGAAGTGCGCCGACTGGGCGGGACCGATCCGTCAGCGATCGGCTGCGACTCGGGTTCTCACTGATTGAACGCAACTTCCAGCTGAAGGCTGACGCAGCACGATACATAGTCGACCGCGTCGTTGCCAGGAAACTGATTGAAGATATCATTTTGTTAAAACACCCAAGACTGGGTGAGAAAAATCTCGAAGAACCAAAGTAGAAGAAGCAGAGAATGAAGTCAGTCAGACGACTGACCTTTTTTCCTTAGGTTGATTCGAGATTTTATAAACCAGTCTCGGGTGTTTTAACAAAATGGCAAACTTACACCAGCTCGCCTGCGCCCTCATTGTGTTGAAGATATCAGAGTGTTGCAGCAAGCGTTCTCATCTCGAGCTCCGCGTTCATGTCGCCTAGCCGAAGCTAGCTGTCCTTAAAGCGCGTCTCAAGGGCAGTGCTCTACCGAGCCATTGCAATAGAGACAAACTTTTTCCGCAAGGCCGCGAAGACAATGCAAAATATACCAATGAGAACCTGATCTAGTACATATGGCGACTGCGTTGTCGAGTACTCAAGGAGTATTCGGCACTGAAGGGGGACGACAAGGGAGAGAGAACGATAGATAGAGAAAGAAAGAGAGAGAGAGGGCGAAAATAAATGAGGGTTGCAGACAGTTTTGTAGGCTTAGATGCGGCGCACATAGAGATAATAAATTCTTCGCGATGGTTTTCAGCACTCTTTTTGATTAGGTTCAAACTGCGGGCACAGAGTTGCGCTTTTGTGATTAGCTGCTTTACGTGACCCACTATGACACGTATTTTGATGTCACTTCTTTTTCCTTTCCGCATCCCTATGAACATTTTTAAAACAAGAAAATCGAAAAATGGCGGCATATTTTTTTTTAAGAGAGTAAGTGCTTATATATGGAACTGCTAGGTTTACAAGCGCTGTGCACCAGCTTGCTACGCTATTAAAAAAATAATAATTAATATCGGACATTATCGACAAAGGCGGCTAAAAAGGGGCAGTAAAGCAGGGGCAGTTTTGCTCGTATCGAGCGAAAAGAAAAGAACGGCGAAATTCAACCGGTTTGCTGACAGTAATTTTGCGCGTGCCAATTAAACCATGGTCGCCTTCCCTACCTCTGACACACCAGGTTCCACCGCACGGCTTGCGGCAGCACTCGAGGCCCCTGGCTGCGCACTGTCGCGGGGTGCACCTGCTGAAGGAGCAGTCGCTCACCAGTCCCCTGGTGCTGGGACAACGGGCCTCGATCGGCGAGGCCAAGAGGACCAAGAGAACCACTCCGGTCAGGGTCAACAACGCAGAAGACTTCATATTGCCGAGGATATCACGGACTGTATCGGTGAATACTGTGACACGAATCCTCGCCCCTTTATATATAGCGCGATGACGGGATGTGACCACTCTTTCCACCTTAAGGACCGGTCTAACGAACTCGCGTGAACAAAATACTGGCGTCATAGCTCAACGCGCCTTGCAACGTTTGGCGGCAATGCACGAAATCGGATTGCACTTGTTAGTGTTAGATTGGTGGCGTTGATTTTTTTTTTTTTTATATATTTCTTTCGTGTTCGAAGAAAAGAAGCAAATGCGTTCCTGCCGCAGCACCAGGCGCTTCCACAGGTGTGCCGCGCTTGATACGCAGTCACGACGGGGTTTCCTCGACTGTGTTTTGTTTTGCGGTCTTATCGCGGCGGAGGAAAAACAAAGTGGGCACGAGCGTCCCGTTTCCTTTTGCTCAAGTTCGAGCAATCGCAGCCAGAAGGAAACGCACCTGGCATTGACCGATAAAGACCGGATATTTTTTCCAAGAAGCTGCCGCAGATAGGTCTCGGTTTGTTTTGAATCGAGTCCGTGGCGTTCCGGTCACGCGTCGATTGCGTCTAGGTTCTCGCGAAAACCTTCCTCACTCTTGACCGCGTTAAAACTAGTTTATTTGCGTTTAAAGGGCACCTCTTGCGGCGAATTGCCTTTAGCAATAAGCTTGCCTAAATACCTGAAAGAACCTCGATTGCTTTTAGGAGTCAGAGTTGTGATAGCTTTTGCGCTAAGAAACCTGAGTGTAATCGATGAATGAACCTTTGTAAAGTTATAATTCCTAAAATTATCTAAAAAAATTGATTTGTAATTTTTTTTAGGTATATTATAAAAACAAAAACAGTACAACGGACCTTTGAAGAGATAAGAAAAGTATTATATAAAAAACTGCTGCCGTATTTACTCGAGTAATGGCCGCACTGTTTATGAAGAGAACCTGAGGGTTCGCTTTTCCGCGGAGCACGCGAATTGCCCATCAACGCAATCGGCAGCATGATTCCAGCGGTTTACAGGACAGAGATAACGTCTTCGCGCGAAGATACCATATGTGAAGATTGCATTTGCATTCTCGATCTAGTTATTCGCTATGTAATTTATGCGCAACGCGATGATTGAGTGTATACGTGTTTTGCGGGAAAGTATACGCAAGGGCCTTGTTCATAAATAGTGCGGATATTACTCGAGTAAATACGGTATTTTAACTATTTGCGGTTGGAGGCACTTTCCTAATTTTCTCGTTTGTTTTTATTTAGTTTACGTTATTTTACGTTACGTTACGTTACAAGTGCTTACGAACAAGTCATCAGGACATCTGTGCTTCATATTAAGCAGCGTGGTTACCGGTTCAAGAAGGTAGCCTCGCATGCGAAATCGGAGGCACGAATATTTAGGTGACTTATACGCAGTGTTGTAAGCGTTACAGTTTTTGAGACGATTATTGCAGTAGTACTATGTTCCCTCTCCGGCGAGAAAAAGTTTTTTCGACTATACTCTACTTTGTCTTTATCATCTACAAAAGCATACACATTTTGTAATAAGAGCGTTTGCAGTCTCAACAAAATGTCGTGTTTTTGTTGGTCACATGCCGTCCTGGCTGCCGGCACAATGCTCCTCCCATCCTCGGTGAAAATTTCGATCTTTGGCTGCTATTGTAATAGGGAAGTCGGCCGCGTATCGTTATGATTGATGGATTTCTAGTTTGCTTATAACCTGCTGAGTGAGTTATCGCCAGATTTAGGCGATGTGAGAAATCTCCTAGGCACCTTTAAGCTAAAACGAAATATAGAAAAACGAAACACATTTAAGTGTACTTTTTTTCAGGTTTTGGTAAAAAGATGTCACGAGTAACGTAACTACGTTACCCGTTACTTGAAATAAGTAACGTAACTACGTTACCCGTTAATGTTTTTAAAAAGAAAGCCGTTCTCCCTGTAACGCCGAACTAGAGCGCAGCTCTTGAGGAGGAGGAGAAAAGGGTACTGGGGGTGGGTCAAGTGACCTCGGGGGGCGGGGGGTCACGTGACCTTGGGGGTCACGTGACCTTGTGGGAGTCACGTGACCTTGGGGCGTCACATGACTTCGGAGGGTCACGTGACCTGGGGCCACGTGACGATGCCGATGACGTCATCAGTGACGTCACTGATGTCGCCATCAGTGATGATGATGATGACGATGCTGATGCCGGTGACGTCATCAGTGACGTCACTGATGACGTCATCAGTGGCTATGACGTCAAGGGGGGTCACGTGACCTGGGTAACCATCGTGACCCTCGTGAGGGTAACTCTCGTGACCCTCGTGAGGGTAACTCTCGTGACCCTCGTGAGGGTAACTCTCATAACCCTCGTGAGCCTCATGAGCGTAACCCTCGTGAAGGTAACCCTTTTGAGGGTAACTAACCCTCGTAACCCTCCTGAGGGTTACGAGGGTAAGTAACCCTCGTGAGGGTAACCCTCGTGAAGGTAACCCTTTTGAGGACAACTAACCCTCGTACCCTCGTAGCGTTATTTAAAAACAGATAAAAGTGTAGTTGCTGGAGAAAGGATGCTTGTTTCGGCTCCGTTTGTGTGAAAGCCATACCGATGCTGTTACCTTGGTTTGGTTTTAATGAATATTATGAAATGATTGTTTTAGCGCGTTAACTTGCGTTGATCTTTTCTTTTTTCTTCCCGGTGTTTCGATTGAACAGGTGGGACTAACAGAAAAAACCGTGTAAGGCGCAGTAGTGCAAGTGGATGATTTCCTAAAAAGGATCACAGTTAAAAAGTAAGACAAGCGCAAAATACAAAAAAAAAAAAAAAAAAGTCTTTAGTGCGATTTGGACCCGGAACTTCTACGCCACGAGAAGGCGCGAGGTACCGGCGCCGGCGGAGGTATATAAATATACTGCTACCGCTTTTATCTCGTTTGGTTTTTTCTTTATTTTGGCTCTTATTTACCCTCCCTGACCGTAACTTTACCTGCCGCTCCTACAGCATAAAGGGGCGGTCAATCGGACTCCAGTTGAAAGTCCCTGCAATCAGTTTCTGCGAGCGACATTAGGCTTTTGTGCTTGAAGCGATGTGGATCTCTCCGCCATTAGGCAGTGACGCTAGGTACTTCCTTGTCCCCATGGAGCTGGTCACGTGACGTAAAAATCCCTCTTGGCCGCGGCCGCGGCCGCAGCCCGCAAGATAAGCAAACCGGCCCTGGCGTCGCTAATCTCCCTTTAGAAGATTATAGAAGATTAAACCGTCACTTAACATTCGTTCAAAAGCAACTTCCCCCTCTCTCTCTTTCGTGGTGGTGCGAAATGGAGATGGGACGTCCGTGCAAAGCATGTATACCATTTCACGCGCGTTTGATGATGAAAACGAGTGGATCCACTTCGGGGTTGCGATGCGAACGCCAGAGTGAATGCGCTTTTAAAGTAAAAAATAACATTCAAGAAAAAGGGAAATGTGTTACCTTTCTAATGTTGGAAACCTTCAATCTTTTTCCGCGCTCACTAGTGGAGTGACGTCACATGTTATATAGCATGCAAGTAAACCAAGCAGTTAAAGAAAGGAGAGCTTTGCGCACGTTCTTTTTTTTTAAGTTTTGGCTTCCGGGCGTGAGTTTAAATTAAATATATTTCGCACCACAAACTTCCTCTAAACCGCGCGGAACAACCATGTTACAACATTTGACGTCATGTTTTTAGTGTTTTCAAGAGGGCCTCTCAAATCAAATTGAAAACTTCAATAACTTGACGAATAAAATATTGTGACTTTCAGTCTGCCTTACTAGTTTAGATGATTAATGTGTTAAATCAATTTTGAGTCAAATCAGTGACAGTCATAATTTCCCCTTTAAGACTGGCTACTGCTGCGTTAGGACGAGATGTGAGTGCGTGTAAAGGCCCGTTCACACTGCGCCAATTCCTTGCGTTTTGTTACGTTATGGACGTTTATAACTGCTTCCGTTGAGAGACGACTGCGAGTTACGATGGCATCAAAGTAGCAGAATGGTCGTTGTGAAAAACGTAAAGATTTGGCTTGGGGGGGGGGGGGGGGGGGGGGTTCAGCCGGCGGCTTTTCTATACGCACACAGACATTTATGTGCTTACCTGAACTTACATCGAATTATGTGTGCAATATCGTGTATGGTTTGTAGCTTTACGTGAACATTCGTGCCCGGTGAAAGACGTACTTTCATTGTTTCCTTTCAGCCCCTTTCTAGATGCCACAGGAAACTCTCAATGGCACTTGTCTGCACATGTGTTTTTACGCCCGTAGTATTAGTGGGCCGACAGGGATTAGAAAGTGAATCATCTCTTCTGTTCTTTTTCTTTCACCTTTCTTTCACCTCTCTTATACCCTCCACCAAAGTCGGGGTAGCCAACCGAGGCATGCTGCCTTCGTTAACCTCTCTCTCTTCATCATCTGATCTTCTTTTTCTCCTTTTCTATACATGTATTCCTAAGTTATCATAAACAAAATATTGCGGGACTTTCTGAATTCAAGCGTACGTCGGATGGGCCCGCATTTTTTGTGTGTTTCAATGAGCGTGAATGAGCAGCGCGTGCTTATAAAGTTTCTTAGCGAAAAAAAAAATGCCAGAAAGATGACGCATCATGAATCGATGCGTGTACCTAGATCACACGAGGCCTAGAATGAGCACAGTTTCTAATTTTATTTGGCCTGCATGCCGAAAGCTACGTGGCCCTACTGACAGACCATCGGTAACCCGGCATTTACACGGGACTCGGGAGACATAGCGAGGTGAGACGCAAAATAATTTAGGCCTTTTTAATTATTGCTTAAATGAGAAAGCGAGTGCGTGCACCAGCACACATCGCTTCGTTAACAGCGCGTCGTCGCCGTGACTCGTGAGAGTTTAGGCTGGCCAAAGCAAAACCCTCTACGCTTGTCGGACGTGGTTCAAGAAGGCTGCGCAAGATTGAGCCGCCCGTGCTCGTGCCTGGCAAAAAGCAAACGATGAGCTATGGACGACGAGTGGATATCAGTGTTATCACAACCTCGCTTTAACACTTATGAATTACGGATTCATGGGTGTCTGTTTTTGTTCTATTTCTGAGAAAATTAAAAAAACATATTCGCGTTTTTGCTGTGTATATTTTGTTTTTAATCTTTTGCGGTATCCTCGGTCCCTTAGAAGTAGTTATTTCTTGTCCTACTTGTTAG